CTTCCCTGCAACGTCTGGTTCCCAAATCTGGTTTCGTGTTCGGGCAGTTTTCGTACTGCCTGAACAAACGGAAGGAATGATGGGAATGGCTGGCAAGGCCACGCTGGCTCAATTACATAGTCTGGTTGCTTCTCTGTTCTGTGCACGTCTACTTGTCGAACATCCACAGCTGCAGAAATGGCTCGAAAGCTCAAAACGGGCACACGAGGGCCTCCCAGGCAAAGGGGTTCCCCAGTCAAGCTATGCTGCGCTTACAAGCGATGCAAGAGTGGTGTCGATGTAAAAAACATCGGCAAGGACTTGCAAGTGAAGAAGAACAAGGTGAATCTGGAGAAGTGCCGTGACTCGCAGCATACAGCCGCTAAGGTGATTCGCTTTTGCTGCCTTCGCCACAAAACGATGTGCCTGGATCCAAAGCGAGTGCCGGCTCAGAAACGGGGGCCCCGAACGACTTTGAACAAGGAGCACATTATCCATTTGATATGTCCTGAGACAAGACGGGGCGCCCTGGACTTGTGTGGCAATTCTGATACAGCTTGCTCTTGCCGAACGTGGCGGGGCCACGATGAAGTGTCAGTTTCGCTGGCTCCAGAACTTAGCGCCGGAGGATCAAGGAGTCCCGCAGATCTCTGTGGAAAAAGTAAACCACAAAACCAAGGCGCGTCTTGTGTCGATCCCCGCGGCCCTGGCCAGGTTGCTGCATCGATGGATGCATCACGCACCCTTATGTGGCTGCAACAGCCAGTGGCCGTTCCAGAATCAGGACACCACGCCAAGTGCCTACCTTTTTGCGTCCTCTACAGTATCTGGCGAGAGATTGTGGAATCGACCCATGACCCGAGCGGCCTATCAGAAAAGGTTGAAGAGAGCAAGCGAGATCATCGCACAGGAGCGAGCCAAAACGCGACTGGCAGGGGGGGAAGAGCACTGCTTTGAAAAGGTTGACCTGACAAAGATCGGGACCCATTCCTTCAAGCGATCATCCATCACGCTCTTATCAGAGATTTGCACCTCCCCGGCGGTTCTAGAAGCAATATCGGCTACATCAAGCGGGACGTTGGACAAATATTACGATGACCCCACTCCAGCTAGACAAATCCAAGCTTTGGATTCTGCATTCGGCCCGGTCTGGCGAAGAATGACTGTGAAAACCACACTTGCGGAGACTGCCAGAACAGGCAGCACAGAACCTCCCAAGAGAAAGCGGTCTGCAGATCCGTCGGGCCTGAGCAGTGCGGCAGATGTCGGTGCTAATGAGATTCGATACTGTGCTAGATGTGGCGAACCACGTACAAATCTGAAATGGAGGGGGTGCCCTTTTTGCTTGAGGCCTTATGCCACATGAGCGGCCTCTTCAATCTGATGGGAAGTTCAGTTCGTCTTTCAGGCACTCTGCAATGTTGACCCAGGATGTCGTCGGCTTCACAATGTTTCACCCCCCTGTCTGAATTCAATTTCCTGGAAGAAACTTCTGGGATGCTGCATCGAGGTCAATGGTGTGATCAGTGTCCAACCCCACTCCCTCGGAAATGCAGAAGGGAAGCCCTATACTCCCAAACCTAAATCCCCAGACACTTGCAATAGCAATTACATGCACACAACCGATGCACCCATGCACATGCACGCCCTTGACCGATACCACCGAGTCGCCCGCAACGGCGTCGCAAGGCAGTGCCTGGTTGCGGCAAGAAGTGTGTGGACTTGGCTTGGGCAGTGTGCCCCTGGTGTGGCTGGCAATCTCTGCAACTTGCATCAGAGCACACTCCGCAACACTAGCCAGACGTGCACATGTGCAGGAGCAGGACCAATGCAAGGCCAAGTACTGGCGGGGTCACAACAAACTGGTACAGAACTCTCCAGCACGTTTTCCGTCTCACCCTGGTGATCCTATCGGCCGCTTGGCAAAAAGAACTCTCCAGCATGTTTTTCGTCTCACCCTGGTGATCCAGTCGGCCGCTTGGCAAAACTGCACATCCCAAGGCAGGCAAGGATGCAAGAGACTCAAGCAATCGTCGTGTCCTAGGAAAGTCGTTGTCACAGGCTACAACACCCGCTTGCCGACGCAATGGTTTCTCGGATTGCAGGTACGGTGCTCGGACATTCCGGATTGTGGAGTAACCCAGGGACACACATGAAACACACACACACACACACACTGTGTGTAATCTGATGCTCAGACCGATCCGGAAACCACTGCAGCACAAGGTGTTCATCCCCAGTGGCGCAAGGGCATGCACAGCATCAGAGACTGCAGCTGCCGATACGTAGACTTCAGATTCCAGCATGACTATGTGTACACAAGGGTGCACTGGAAGCTGTGTTCATGCCCTATGTGGAGTGAGTGAAGCGAGCTTGCGAATGCCAACACGATGCCCTTTCCCTGCAGTAGTCCTACCCTCTGGGCAGTTCATTACTTATTTTTATCAGTCGACTGAGGTCGTCAGGGCAGCATGTGCATGCGCATCGTCAGAAAGCGAAGGTAGACTCATTCTGTTCCAGTGCATGCAGTGAGCTCGCAGATGCCAACACAATGCCCTCACATGGCCCCTCACCTACATTTGTATTCTCTGGAGCGTTCTTTTCGTATCTTCTAAAGTAGACTTATATCTCCGGGGCAGCATGTGCATGTGCGCACTCAGGATACAAAGTAGGATTGAGTCTGCTCCAAGGGCAAGTCCTCGAGCAAAACGATTTGTGGCCGCAACGGCATAAGGCCGTTCACGGTCCACTTAACGCTCCAAATGACGCTGGTAGAGCCCTTCCACGAAGCCAATGGCACCAGAGCCGCGGCACTGCCTTGCAATGCCCTCAGCTCTGCTGCTGACGGATCACCTTCACCCTGTGGGACAGCCACTGCCTGTGTCGTGACATAGTTGACAGAATGAGTTTTCTCAAGGCTCAGCGGCTGCTCCGTGCTGCTCTGCACTCGGAAGTAAGCGATGGCTGCTCCCGGCTCCTTCTTCTGCTGATCCTGCAGAACCTTCTTCAAAGACAGCAGGCGGCCGGCAAGAATCACCTTGGAGTTGCCATCCAGATCATAGGGCACGACGAAGGGCTTGAACTGCTGTTCCTCGGCAGCATCCTTCTTCTGGCCCTTGTCAAACTCGAATTTGCCCTTGCCGAAGCCACACAAGAACGTCCCTTGCTTGAGCGTGACGGAGCTGGCACCTTGATTCTGCAACCAAATCTTGTCTCCAAGCTGAAAGACCAGCTTGACATCCGGCTGTTTGCAGTTTGCTAGGGCAACGCTGGTTAAGGTGGTTCCACTGATCTCTCCGTTGGGCTTCAAGCGCTCCGCATCAACCCGCGCCTTCTTCGGAACAGGCTCCTCCTGACCATCTCCAGCCCCGCGCTTGACCCCCTCTGTGGCCTGCGGAACCGGTCCGAACTCCTCCACGATGCTGTCCAACATGGTTTTCATTTGAGCACCGTAGACGCCGTGTGAAATCCATTTTGCGATAGCACTTTCCGGAAGCTGAGGGTAAAGGTCGGGACGGGCAGGGATCACGTTCAGCTTCGGGAGTGCTGGTGGCTGCTGCAACAGTTCTTCGGGGATGGTGAGCGGCGGGTTGGGATGACCGGGTATCTGGAGGTCGCCCTTGCGGTGCAAGTTCGCGACCCATTTCAGCTTGTGCACGGCAAACCACTCCGCCGCAGAAGCGCTCCCGCAACACCCAAAAAAGAAGCTGGGAACGTTGAGAGACCCGCGCTTCCCCATCCATGCCTCGAACATGTGCCCGACGCCCACGTTGCCATCGACAAGAAAGAGCGCCTTGCCGGACTCCAGCACCACTCCATCCATTGCCAGGTCCCAGATCTTCGAGAAGGCGTCCACGCCCAGCTGCTCAGCCTTCCGAGCTCCTTGCACCACGCTGTCGGAATCGTCGGTGGACGTGGGAAGGACACTGCTACCGACATCTTCCACAGTCAACATGTCTTTGCTGGCCAGCATCGTGGCGGCAGCAGTCCGTCCGAGCCGGATCAGTCCAGAGCTGGACCAGACACTGCCATCTGCACCCTTGAAGTCAGACGTGTACTGTGGACGAAGCAGGACCTTTCCTGGGTACGCACATGGCCTTGAGTCTCGGCTGTCCACCTGACAGAGGAAGCATGTGGGTGCATGAACCGATGACGCTACAAGTGAGTTCATGTCAATCTGTGCACAATGAGTGAACGAATGGACAATGGCTTCGAGAGTCTGGCCTTGTGATCGAAAATGAGCGTCCAACTCAAGTCCACATTGAGGCCGGCTTTGGCCAAGCTCTTGACGGCATTGCTTTCCAGCAGCCAGACGTGCCCGGCTTTGTAGCTGAAGATCGGCAGCACAGCTGCACCGATGGCCTGGCCAGAGCCGAGGACGAGGTTGGCCACGAACCCCGTCTGAGCATTCATCACATCGTTGCGAAGGTTCGTGGGCGCCGACCAATTGAGCAGTGCAAGCACAGCCTCACACCGACGGACCCCTCTACCATGTCCGCGCACCCTCCCTATAGACACACAGAGACAGCTCAAGAAAAAGATGTTTCAAGCTAGGTGGCACAGCCACTCTCCATAACACCCACAGAGGAGGACTTGCTGCTGCGGAACTTCACATACTCCCGCGCCCAATCCTCCGCTCTCTGCTGGCTGCTGATGTGCACAAACGCAGCCATGAACTGCTTGGCGGCCTTCTCGGATGATTCGTGCATGCTCAGCTCCCAAGCCACCCTCGTCGAGTGCTGGCTGAACTCGTGATCCTGTAACTTCCGCCGAGCCACTCGCAGTGCGTTGACATCGTACTCGCACTGGCGCTGGAAAAGCTGCCAGGAATCCTGCTCCAAGTCGGTCATGTTGATTGACGTGGTTGCCACAGGTGCCTGGAGGGCGTGCTCGTTGATGAGTTCTCGCAAGATCCCCACTTCTCTGACGTCAGCGGCAGAATGGTTGAGGATCGCAGCTTGCACTTCCGTCATGACGTTGCTTGTGCCAGCCACATATGCATCCAACCATCTGGATTTGATGACTGCCGGGTCGATCGGAACAATTTTCAACAACTCCTGCGCCATGCTCCATGCCACTGCCGCCTCCTGGGCTTTGGATTCCCAAACAGCCTTTGGCATCTTGCCCTGAAGCATGCTGGTGCGCTCTGCCACCACATGCTCCACAAAGAGGTCGCAGGACTCCACTGTGACCTTGCCCCGCTGTTTCCAGATGGCATGTGCACCAATGGCCTTGAACCTGGGTCTTTGAAAACAGGACTGCGGAGACTTGCTCACCCCTCGCTCCAGAACAAAAAGACTTCCCTCCACAGTTCATGGCACACAGCACGTTCAAAGATCGCACCATGCACACAAACAAGAAGAGCTTGTCCTGACTCTGATGAAAGGCAGGCGGCTGATACCCCGGCAGCCACTTCTTGCTGCTCAAGCAGTCGTCGGAGATGACTGAGGTGTCGAAAGACTGCGCTAGGACGTAGTCTACCAGCTTCAGCCTGGTGCCTTCCGGAACCTCGCTGAACAAGTTCTTGATTGCTTGCGCTTTGGATCCGTAGACTGACCCTCTTGTTGTGTTCGTAGCGTTGTGCTTTTTGACCTGAGCTGGGCAAATTGCTCTGCCAAGCGACCCTGAGGAACCCTGACACAGCTGAGAATGCCTGTGTGCCAACAATGCCAGGAAACCAGCTTGGCCACGTCCAAGTTGGCGTCGTACGTCGCCAGCTTCGTCAAACTGGTCACCCAGGTCCTTAAGAATGCACGATCAATTTGCCCAACTCATGAGGCGGCTGGGCAGCATGCGAACAACTCAGGCGCACACATGACATTCGGTGGCTTTCGGATGGAATTCTTCACGCTGAGGCGAAAGTTGCCCAACAGCTCATCTGCCTTCGATGCAGCACAGACGCAGTAGGCGCGGATGTCACACACAGAGGCCCAAAGACTGCGGTGATTCTCCTTGATGTCCAGCCCCTGGTCCCATGCAATGGCCAGGATGGTCAGCAGCACAGATGCCCGCGCCTTCCCCTTGAGATAGCCAACAGTGCCGGCCACAACACCCCCCTGCAGCTTGGGGAGACCCAGGCCATGCACCGCCGTCACAAGCTCCGCGACCTGTGTTACCCGCAAGGGCTCGCCGGCGGTCTCGAATCCATGCAACAATATTTCCTCAAGCAGAGACATGGCGGTATCCCACTCTGTCGGTCCTTTCAAAGAAGCTTCCATGCGCCAAGCCAAGGAAGCCACGTGCAGGTGGAGTAGCTTCAAATCGCCTTCGGCTTCCCTGCTTCTGGGAAAAGCAATGTCGCAGCAGTATGGCACACCACACTCTAGCGGCCAGGTCATCAGGAGGTGCTTGATGAAGTCACGTGCGTCCTCCTGCAGCCGCGCCTGCAAGTAGCTTTCCACGCTCTTGAAGCTCTGCTTGATCGTGGTCACCTGTGCCGTGATGGCCTGCTTGAACTCGGCAGCCTCTGCAGACTCAGAGCGGCCCTGGTCGGGGACATCCAAGTCCCACTCTTCATTCACAGAGCAGCTGCCGGAAGCTGACATCCCAGAAGCCCCGAGGAGTCCTGAGCGGAGCGGCGGCTACGAGCCGATGCAAGGAGCAGAAGCAGAGAGCCGAAGCCGAGCGATGAAGCCCCGAGGAGTCCGGCCGAGGGCTCCCAAGACGGAAGCAGATGTCGCCAACCCTCGAGCAGAAAGGTTTGCGGCTGACATGGATGACTGCATCCTTCCTCCCAGGTGCAGTACGTGGCAAAATCATTCCTACACTCGACCATGTATTCCGGCACACAATGCTTCCAGCCTCCAAGGCAGCTTTCTGGGCCCATGCCTGCATGGAAGACTTGCAGCTCACTGCATAAATGCCTACACACGCTCCGAAAACTGACTCAATGCAGAAACTGGCATCATCCAATGAACTGGGCAAGCCCTGACACACAGCAGCAGCCGGGGCTTCTACAAGCAAAGATTGTGGTTTCAAGCTATCCTGGGTCTGGGCTGACCATGGGGGCTACCTACACACGCTCGGAAAGCTGACTCAATGCAGAAACTGGCATCATCCAATGAACTGGGCAGGCCCTGACACACAGCAGCAGCCGGGGNNGCAAAGATTGTGGTTTCAAGCTATCCCGGGTCTGGGCTGACCATGGGGGCAGCCTCTCTCGGAAAAAAATTTTCTCAAGAGTTCTTGCCAAGACAAGGACCGGGTCCAGAGGCTCGTGCTGCCGGGCAGCTCCCCGGGGGGTGTCTCTGGGATGAGACCTTAGCTTCCGGAGATATCTTGAAAAAAAAAATTTTCAAGAGATCTCCGGAAGCTAAGGTCCACCCCAAGGCAATCTCTCGATCCCTGAACCCTGAAGGGAAACCCTGGCCGCCGGATCCTGGCCCTTGGGGTGAAGGGGGAAGTCTAGCTCCCTGAACCCTGAAGGGAAACCCCCACACCTCCAAATCCTAGCCCTTGGGGGGATCTCTCGCTCCCTGAACCCTGAACGGAAACCCCCACACCTCCAAATCCTGGCTTTGGACCGCCACAGCCGGCGAGCCTCGGAAGCCCCAGGAGTCTGCCTGGCACTAAGAAATGCCTTAGCTCCCAACTCGCAATCCAGAACACTACGTCCCAAACAGGTTTAGGGTTTAGGGTGGACGACTTGTGGTTTACGTGGTTTCAGGGGAGGAGCGGGCCCGGCCTCGGAGCTGCGTTTGGGAGCCTTTACGAAGACCCAAAGTTTCAAACACCAAGGGGCTCAAAGGTACGGATCTGAAGCGTCGGGAGGCCGAAGCCGAAGTCTACGATTTACGGCTTAGGGTTCAGGGTTTAGGGTTTAGGGTTTAGGGTTTAGGGTTTACGGTCCGACCACTCCGTCACGGGTCCCCAGCAGACCACTCTGGGCTCAGCTGGCGAGCCCAGAGTGGAGGCTCAGTCCGCTCCCACACTGACGCAGGCGGCCCCAAGGTTGAGGTCTAGAGTTTTTGATGATGACCGGCAGGCCACCGGGGCCATGCTGAGAGCCACGGTTTTGGGTTTAGGGTGCGCAGGCCCTCGAACTGCTGCAGAAGCGCCTCGAAGGCCCAATCCGCTCCCAGGAGAGGAGCTGGTGGGCGCTTCCGGCCTCATTTCGGCTGGGCTCTGAACCTAAGGTATTTGCTATTTGGGCCAATCACCAATCTCATCATTCCTTGGGGCCTTCGGGTGATTGCAACTCTGACTGTCTGGCACCGAAGCCTCGAGCCCTTAAAGCAAATTCCCCAGCGGCCCCACGCAGAGACTTTTTGTTCTAGCTCAGATCTCCTTTGCAGCACAGAACCAATGCATCTACAAGTTCTGCAGGATACTGCTGAGCCCAGCGTGACACCGTGACACCTTGTTTCCACAAAAGTTTAAAAGGTTTCA